CTCTTTAGATTCGTTCCAGCAGCTGATTCCGGTTCACTCGTCAACAGTAATACAAACATAAAAAATAACGCTAAATAAAATATCACCACTAGAAGGATGCACAAAATTACCTAACCACTATTTCACAACTAATTAAAGCAATACATGTATGTAAATGCATCTAAATAAATTCTCTTTGTGCATATCTAATCTTAGTCCACATACAATCGACACATACAGACACACACATATAGGCTAAATTGGTTGTCTTTCTATCGTTCTGAATTGATCTGGTTTTGAGACTCGTTTGGTGCAGGACTGGAGGGGGTCACGTTCAATGACGTCGTGCAGCCGCGTTTAGACACACTGAGGAAATTAGTGATGCTCAATATGCAAATCAAGCCATAATGACTCCAACATTCAGACGAAGCAGTGTCTCGTGTGAAACCCGTCGGATGTTGGTCTACGAGTGTATTTCTTAAGCAAGCATGTTCTGGATGGTAACGCGGTTGGAAGAGCATGTGAGAAATGAACGCTTGTAATAATCAGCTGCTTGATGTGTCTTTGTTTTTGTCACCAGGCAGTTTTGTCATCTGTAGCCTATTAAGAATTTCAAAACCCCTCAAAGTGTTTTTTAAAAATCTTTTCTCTTCAGCAGGTGAGTATTTTGAGTTGTTTGTTGGAATATTCCACTTGTAGTTTTTAATTGTGGTTTATGTCTCACGGAAATCAAAAGGAATTTCGTCTCGATTGAACAGTTCAGTTTTTAGGAGAACAGTCGAGTTTTATTAAAACACATCCGTCTGACAATTTTCATTGTGCATAACCAGATAGCATCATTTGCGAGTAGATTTATGAATTAACACTAAAGGGAATAAGATGGGTTAAAATTAAGATATATATGATGTATTCTAAATAAACTAACAATATTCCCAAAGCTATAAATTTCATATGAAAAGGCACTGGTCGGAGTGGAAGTGAAGGCGTGAGATGAGTTTGAGTTCATGCGGGGTGTCTCAGTCTGTCCGGGGACACAAGAGCAAATCAAATCGCAAACATCTTTTATGTTTCCTATAATGCAAAATGGTAATTATTGATAACATTGATCAAAAAAATTTAAAAAATGATTATTTTGTGTCTGAAAGCCAATCATGTTTTTAGGCATGTCTTTAAAATAAAATATACAAATCTGTTGCCTATTTAATGTAAAACTAAACAGCCATATAGATTGAGTGTTTTTTGTTTTCTTATATACACTCTTAAAAATAAAGGTGCTTCAAAAGGTTCATCAAGCGATGCCATAGAAGAACCATTTTTGGTTCCACAAAGAACCATTCAGTCAAAAGTTCTTTAAAGAACCATCTCTTTCTTAGCTTTTTATAATCTGAAGAACCTTCTTTCACCACAAATAACCTTTTGTGAAACAGAAAGGTTCTTCAGATGTTAAAGGTTCTTTATGGAACCATTTAGACAAAAAGGTTCTTCTATGGCATCGTGAAGCACCTTTATTTTTAAGAGTGTAGGCTAGGCTATTTATATTTTCAGTACGGACAAATAGCAGAACAACGACACACTCTCTCTCACACACACACACACACACACAGTCATGATGGTTTTGTTCAGATTAAAATATAAAAATACAGTGAAAATGTCTTCTTTAAAACGCAGAATGTGAGAGATCCGCTATTTGCAGAGGTTAAGACATTTCTTTAGACATTGATAAAGCCGAAAAAAACTCCATCTCAGAATTTTGGATGCGAAGTCTTGTGTGTTTAGCCTATAGACATTTCTTCTGATTTTATTTCAAAGGCATTTCTTATTAGTTCATGTATTTTAGAACATGTTATACATTACTTGGGCTTTATATTTCGACAGTTGTTCATTCTGACAGGAACCATTACGCCTATGGAGAGTCCCTACAAGGATAGCTGACCAGACGTGTGTGTGTGTGTGTGTGTGTGTGTGTGTGTGGTGGCGCACAGATCTGTCTGTTACTGCGTTACAGCGACACCTGGCGGCAGCTTCAGCCCAACAGGTGCTTTCCCATCACGAATCTAAAACAATATTCGATTTGTATGATATATAATGCACCTCTTTCATTTATCACAGTTTTCAGACAGACAAGGGCTTAATTTTCACAACAGATTAAAGAGCAGTTGACAGGAACCATTACGCCTATGGAGAGTCCCTACAAGGATAGCTGACCAGACGTGTGTGTGTGTGTGTGTGTGTGTGTGTGTGTGGTGGCGCACAGATCTGTCTGTTACTGCGTTACAGCGACACCTGGCGGCAGCTTCAGCCCAACAGGTGCTTTCCCATCACGAATCTAAAACAATATTCGATTTGTATGATATATAATGCACCTCTTTCATTTATCACAGTTTTCAGACAGACAAGGGCTTAATTTTCACAACAGATTAAAGAGCAGTTTGATAGGATATTTTGAGCTGCACTTCTTCATAAAATGAATAAACTATATGATTTTCCACCAGCTGAACAAGGGATGAAATATCTATATATCTATCTATCAGAGATGATAGCCTATGCAATGCTTTAAACCTAATTGATGTGTTCGTACTTTATAGTTATATGTATTTGACTATTCTCAAAAAATAAAGATGATTATAGAAGCAATTTCTGGCTGTTGGGCATGATCCGAAATATGTTTTATTGCGATAGGCAAGGAATTATTGTTATTTGGGTTGTCGTTTTTTGATGGCAATTTTAATATCATAAACAAATATCTATATTAAAACGCATTAACGTGCATTTGCCTAATTAATATTTCCTCGTGCTGTCGATTCGAGTAGGGTTCTTGTTTAATTTCAGCTCTGCAGTGCGTGTGAGAACTCATTTCGTCGATTTTCATTTTTACGGGAGAGTGTGTCTCTTATGAATTGAGATGTCGATATATTTCCAAACCCGAATGATATTTGTATTATTGTAAAAATAATAATAATAATAAAATAAGTACGGTTAATTTTTTTTAAACGCGCGTTTACAAACATATTCTCTTTATTTAAATGGTTGTATTCCAAACCAAAAAGTCTATCTTAATTTTAAGACAGAAGCAGAAATTCTGTCCTGCCTTCATGTACTCTGATGAATAATTGTCTGACCTTCACGTCACATTAACTCATTAAAGAATGTCATTTTCAGTCTTCCAGCAATAAAGATGTGTAACACGTTTTCGAAAATGTGTTTGTCCTTGCAAAATTATTTTAAAAGAGCATTTGATGTAATATATAGCAAAAAAGAAAGGAATTACTCCATCAGTTCACACACAGAATCACATCTTTGCAGAACCTACCACCAATTTCAGCTATGAGCCTGTGTTTTTCTGTAAATATTTCATAAGCAGTTTACTGTTGACTTATGTTTTAAATATGAAGATCTCAGTTAGGCTGTGAAATGAGAGTGAATGAGTAAATCAGGATTTATGCCTCTTAGTTTTGACGTTGAAGCTGCAAATGTTTTATCACAGTATTTTGATAAGTTTTTTTTAAAGACTACAAGACTACAAATTGAGGGTGGTAGTATTTTGCACCAACCCAGCTAACAGGAACCGCTCTCAGAATTTGGCCAACGTTCTGGCAATGTTCTCTTAAAGTAACGTTAATATAGTGGGGGGAAATCCAAATGTAACATTCCCATAATGTTTGCAAAAATGACAAAACTGAATATTCTCTTTTACATTTTTAACGTTCAGAAATGTTTTCATAACTTCATGGGAACATTAGCAAAACGTTCTTTGACCATTTTTGTTAACCTGTTTCACAACATATGTGAAAACAGATAAACAAATGATTTACTGTAAATACTATCCAGAATACTACGTGTAAAGTCCATAACCTGACCAAGTAAAGGCACAACCAAAAGAAAATTGAAAATTGTTTTCAACATCGATAATAATAAGAATAGTTTCTTAAGCAGCAAATAAGTACATTAGAATGATTTCTGAAAGAGCACGTGACACTAATGATGCTAAAAATTCAGCTTTTCATCACAGGAATAAATTACATTTTTCAGTATATTCAAATAGAAACCAGTTATTTTAACTTGTAAAAATATTTAACATTTTTACTGTATTTTTGATCAAATAGATGCAGCCTTGGTGAGAATAAGAGGCATATGCAACATCCATAACCTGACGAATTAAAGAAACAAGCAATCAAAAAAAAGTTTAGAAAGCCTGATGTGAAATTGTTTATATGGCTTTATTTTTGGAGCTCACACTGCTTTACCTTTCTGTTCAACATCGGCAAAGCTTGAAATCACATTCTGACTCATGTGGTCAACAGGTAGCAACAAATGCTCTGCATTTTTATGAAAATATAAGCAAAATGTATTGTGCATCTCTTCCACCGGGGATAGGCAATACATGGCCCGGAGAACTTTAACGTTGTTAACACGGCTCTGAAATATCAACAACATCTACAAGAGAATTTGTGTATTTGGAACACTTCCCGATTCCATTTAGAACTCTAAACGGCGTACATTCCTCAGCCCCGGGCCCGTGCTATAGTCTTCAAATGGTGCGTGATGGCTTTCTCTCTCACTCCGTTAATCGTAAAGAAACCTGCAAATCCTGGCAGGCTCATTTACCCAAAAGCCTCACTGTTCTCTATTTACATAAATACGTTGAACCTGCAACACAACAACGTCTGTGATAACATACATTTGTAAGTGAGCATTGACGGTGAGCGTAAAGGCCCCGGTCTGTACGGGAATATTACTTGTACGAGCCCTGAGACACGTCAATGCCTCTATTAATAGTTTAATTACGCATAATATATTACTGAAACTAAAACGTAGCTTTACCAAACAAGAGTACCAGACTTCTCTTTTTAATCCTGTATGCTTGTATACACTGCATAAACTGCATGTATCATTTTTTTTTTGTCTTTTGTAGTTTTCCCCACACGTGGCACAAGCGATGCATGTCCCATGCCCCCGACCCCAAATCACAAACACACCCACCCGCCCGCCCCGTTTATCATATATATATCAATTTGAATACTTGATGTAGCACTCGCACTCCGCAGAAACAAATATAATAATACTAAAGTGAAATCTTTGCATAGAAAAACCGGACATAGCGATCACGAGGCCCAGCCCTCGGACAGACGCATGCGCTTGACAGACGGGCTCTGCCGCTCGTCCGGAGAGGGTCTCAGCAGTCCCATGGGCGAGTGGAAGTCGACGCGGTGCTCCTCGCGGTCGCTGCCCTCGTACGAGCTGCCGCAGCTGCTCAGGCTGTCGACCGGAGAGCGGCCCGCGTCCTGCCGCAGCTGACCCTGCTGAGACGCCGGCTGCTGCTGCTGGGGTGGAGGCTGGGCGTAGCCGCCCGGGGCCCGGTCTCGGGGAGGAGACACGGGTTCGGACTTGATGTGCAGGCTCTGATTGGACGGCAGTGAGAGGGTGGAGCTCTGACATAACGGCGTGCTGGTGCAGTTCCTGCGGCCGGAGAGGAAAGACACAGTTAGAGGCCGATGAAAATAATGCAACTGCAAAGACTGATGAATTTCCCACTATTTCTTAGAGATTAATCCCAACTATTTCTTTTCTAAGGCCCATGTTTTAATGCGCCTTCCACACTTTTCAAACGGTAAAGTCCAGTGAGCTACATTTTTTGGATTTAATCCAAATATTTTTAAGAGAAATTGTATTATCAGCAAAATTATTTAAGTAAATAATGAAATAATAAACTGAAATAGTGAATTTGAGTTTGTGTTATATTATATTAGTTTCACATTTTTAATTCAAAATGTTGCATTGTAATAAAAAATTAAATCCCATATTCCCAGCAAAACCGAAATGAAAAAATTAACATGGATTTGAGAATGCATATATTATATTATATACTAGTTTGACATTTTATTTAAACATTTTGCAAACCAATTAAAAACAAAAACCCAGATTGCCTGCCAAATAAATATGAACATGTATTTGAGATTATATTATATTACATATTAGTTTGACGTTTTGTTTAGAAAATTTGCAATCTAATTAAAAATACAAACCCAGATTCCCCGCAAAATAAAGTGAAAAGTAATATATTGATTATATTATATATATTAGTTTGACATTTTATTTAAAAATATAATATAATTAACATAAAACCCAAGTTTCCAGCAAAACCCATTTAAGTGAAAAGTTAAATTAACATGAACATGAAGTTGTGAGTCATGAGAATGTATAATGTTCTGCTATATTAGTTCTGCAACATTATTACAATTTTTGCTTTGTAATAAAAATAAAATCTCAGATTCCCAGCAAAACAATTTAAGTGAAAAGTTGAACTGAAAATATGAACATCAATTTAAGATTATTATTATTATTATTATTTTATATTACATTAGTTTGACATTTTTATAAAAAAATTGAATAAATTAATAACACATTTTGAATTTGAATAAACTACATTATGATATGAGGCACAGCACATGCCCACAGTGATTTTTCTATGGTTATAGTGAGCGTTACAGCTGATATCCAGAGTGTTTTGGGTGCATGGGTCAGGGTGATTCTGCTCACCCTAGATGTCCAAGACCAGAATGCTGCATGTTTTGCGGCCAGCCGGTCATCGAACCCAGATGAAGAGAAGCCGAGCTGTTAAAACCGCTCAGAGAGGACAGGTCTCCACTGCTGAGAGAATATTCTAGAGAGAAAAGAGAGAAAGATCTCTGTTCAACTCACTGCATATAGACTGCTTTCAATCTTCAAGGTTACTGCAACAGGAAGAAGAACATTAAGTCAATGGCGCCACCTGGTGGTGTATTCAAGACTTCAAATAACGAAGCAATATATAAACTGGTAATGTAAAAAAAGGACAGTCGTAAAAAAGTAAACAAAATGTACATAATAAAATATAAAATAAAAATATACACTACGATTCAAAACTTTGGGGTAGTCACTTTTTTCTTCAAAAGTGACATTTATAATGTTACAAAATACTTGCATTTCAGAATTCTGATTCTGTATCTCACAACAAGCAGCAAAACTGTTTTTAATACTGATGATAACAGCAAATCAGCGTATTAAAATGATTTCTGAAAGATCATGTGACACTGAAGACTGGAGTAATGATGCTGAAAATTCAGCTTTGCATCACAGCAATAAAAAATTATATTTGTAAATAAATAAAAAAAACAGTATTAAATTGCAACGATATTTCACAATATTACTGTTTTTACAGCATTAATAAATGCATCAAAACTACTGAACGGTAGTGTATAGTAAAGTAAATATTGTGAGTCACTACAAAACTGTGACATTTGTGAATTATCTGTTTTTAATATAGTTATTAAATAAATAAATATGCATAATATATCAAATACATTTTTAAAGAAATTAATTTGTTAATTAAAATAACCTTTATTTAAAGGTCCAATTCTCGCTATTAACAAACCATTTACTACAACTTTTGCCTCAAACTCCTAATTTGCTGCTTATTAATAATTAGTAAGGTAGTTGTTAAGTTTAGGTATTGGGTAGGATTAGGGATGTAGAATATGGTCATGCAGAATATGTGCTTTATAAAAGCTACTAAACAGCCAATATGTTAATAATATGCATGCTAATAAGCAACTAGATAATAGAGAGAACTGATCGCTATACTAAAGTGTTCCCATTAATTTTAATTCGCAAGGAAGCATAAAAAGTGAGAGTAAAGACATTTACTGCAAAAGATTTCAATTCCAAATAAATGTTGTTATTTTTAACAAAAAATGACTATTATTATTATTATTACTAATACTTATATGCATTATTTACATTTCTGTATAATAATAAAGCTAAACAACTTTTACAATAATTGTAAATGTTATTTTATATATATATATATACTTTTGAAGATTCCACTTCTGTGGTGTTATGAAGCACATCTTTAAAAAGAATCAGAAAGAGCTTTTGAACTACTACTTGTTTGAAGAGGTCATAAAAAAATTTCCCTTGAACCTTATAATGACTTGGTGGATCTGACAGCTGTCACAGTTTTTGATAAATCTGTCTAAAACATTGAAAAAAAAAGAATAATAATGTCACATGTTATTGTATCTGTGGTTGTCTTCAAGATATTTTATCTTTTCATATTTTATGTTTCCACATGTGGTCTTTTTCAAGACGCTGTTACTAAATTGTTGCCATCTGTAACAGTAACACCACAGAACTGTCTTACGGGTAACGATTGGGGAAAAAAAACATTATGGAAGAAAAAAATGTCAAATGCTGGCAAATGTACAACAGCACTTTCACTTGAACATTTTCTCAGATGTTTACAACAGTTAACAAAGAATCACTTTTAGATGTTTCGATATATCCAGAGACTTGCATATGGGAGAAAAAAAGTTGTTAAGACGATTTAGACTTCTAGTTTTCAACATTATGGTCTGTTTGAGTCTTCTGCACCAAACCAGTGCTGGTGTTGACAGCCAGTGAGCTGTGACAATGTGCAAAGTCCATTTTCTGTGAGCTTCGCTAAAACTCTTTCATGCATGCGTTGGCTCAAATGTTAGCGCCTTTTCATCTTTTTCACTAACAAACAGACTTTTTTGGACCTTTTTGTGGTGGAATCAGAGCCTCGAATCTCGACGTTCTATGAATCCGTTGCGTTATGTTTCCTCTCGCCTAACGAAGGTGTTGACAGCTTCATCATATTGGAATTCACCGTAGGATGTTTTTTATGAAACGCTTCTTTTAAATATACTATTTAAGACCCTTCACCGCGACATCCTACAGCGGCGCGCTGGGTAAATATCCGGGGAGGAACTAGCCGAGCAAAAGGAAGCTTTGAATCAAACCGAGTGGCTCCGTCTGTCTGTTGAGACAGAAAACACACACACGTATGGTAAATACACATGACTCTTACCAGCGCTGGTGCCCACTCCGCTGCTGAGGTCTGGACCCATAAGGCCACCTGAGGATAGAACAGAGAAGACATTAAACAAGACTGACACTCAAAACACGTACGCCACGCCTGACTGACGCCTCCTTCCTGTGGCCAGACAGGCCGCTCGAGATATATGTACGAGAGCCAGTGTGAAAAAAAACATTTGTAAGTCTATCCGAACCCACAAACCCCTGTTCAGCCCTATGGAGAAGATGCCACCGTCCAAGAAAAACCTTTGAAAAGTCTGTGTGGTTTCAGACGTCGCGGTCCCTGCCAAGACTCATATTTAGTTTTGCTCCTGTAATACGGAGCAAATTGTTCCAGGAGGGCCAAGGATAATGACAGGACAGCCGCTGCGGTCAGAAGGACTCTGACCAGAGCACAAAATAGATCTTTTAGACAATAATAACAAGCCCACAGAGGGATTACGCTTCCCACACATATGTCACCACAGACTGTCTTTTTCTACCACTTTGTTCATTTTTCTTCCCATTGCTTCCTCTTTCTCTTTCTATATACATTCTAGACACACATATCTGGCTGTTTCTTTTGGCCCCTGTGGACTTTTTGAAATGAAACACTGCTAAGACTTTTCACACTGTCACACTTGTCTACAAGATCCAAAGGTGTATACATGCATCACAAGAGAATACAGTTTTATTTGATTTGATTAATTGATTAATTATTTAATTTAATTTTTTATCCCTGAAGCCAATGTCATTTCCAAATGTTTTTGGAATAAAATTACCTTTTTTTCATATATTTAATTTAAATCATATTAGTTATACTTCCATTTATATATCGCATGATTGTGTGTAATTGTCAACACTTTTTTGTTGCTTGTTCTTACAAACTGACAGACAAGTCCTTCGGTTTCTTTGGTAGTTCTTCTGTTTTTTTAGGTAGACAAGTACACAAATGTTTGATAAAATGTTATTAGTTAAAAAATGGTTGTTTGCGGTCACAATTTGTATAAAAATCAATATAAATAATTTTTACATAATGTTTTCACTTTTTGTTTAGACTGTTGTAGTTAAATAAACATAATAACATTTAACTAATTGAATATGTTTAATAAATGATTTAATGAATAATACATTTTTTATTACATTTAAAATATACTTTTTTTTTTTTAAATAAAATTACACTTCATTTAAATTAAAATTTTAATTCTTAGATATTTTTAATAGTTTCATTTTTTTTTTTTTTTTTTAAATAGA